CGAGAGAACGATCCTATGGATTAGTGTTAGCAAAAAGTTTTAAAACTTTTTTAGATACTAGAAACAATGGATAATAATGACAAACAACATTTTTTTTATAGCTCAAACACTGACTCAACAACAAGCTCTATGCTTTTCACAATATAACATAACGTCCCAGGAGACGTGCGGCATTCTAAAACTGTTTCAACTTCTTGGGGAGTTGTAGTCCACACCGACGTCAATATTGATGCAGTATCTATAATTGATGCCCTCGCCACGCTCCATAACTTAAAGGCTATTTACTGCGGATGACTGCTCATGTTAAGCCACTGTCACTATACACATTTTCCTCCTCCATTTTTGAAACCTGCATCAATTTCTCTCAAAGTTTCAAGCGAGGATGTTTGCCTGATTGCCATGGTTACCATGATGTTTACCCTAAAAATGAATTCCATGAATTTATTTTGTTATATCTGACTAACATAACAATCACTAAAGAAAGTGAAAATAAAATAGAAGCAACAAAAATGTGGTTTCTTAAGAGACTGTTAAGAATATCGTGGAAGGAAAAGACAGCAAATGATGTAGTGCTTGGTGAAGCCCACGTGGGACGCTCAATGTTAAAAACAATCAGGAAACGACAAATGCAGTTTTTGGGACACCTGAATAGAGACAAAAAGGTCTTGAACATCTCGCTGGCTAATTTGAAGGCAAACAAAGAAGGGGTAGGCCCAGAGCAACCTACTTAGGGAACCTAAACAAATGGGTAACAGGGAAAGATCAAGGAAATGTAGCTTTGTAAAGAGCATTCGAGCAAAGGAATGAATGGAAAACCATGATCGCCGATGTCTGTCGCAGATCTGGCACTGGATGATGATGACAAACATAATGTACATCATTTATATATTTGATCCCCTCGACCTGGCAAACAAATGTGAGGCATCGTGGTGAAGTCAGGCGCTCATCAAAATAACGAAATCGAACAAAACGGCATTTGTCCTCCTGTATGCAAATTTTGACGAATTTTTATTTTTTGGCTCAAATCTTTTATGTGCATTAAAATACATTAATGTGTGGATTTTACTGAAAAACTTTGATTAAAGGCACAGAAAATGAAAATTTACAATTTCCAAGGACTCTAAAGCTTTAGAAGTCACCAAACTTTGGCGGCCATTTTCTCACTAATTCTACCTCTGAAACAAGGCGACCCCCACTTCCTTCAATTGCAAATATCTCGACTTCTATTGAAGATAGAAGGGTACTTTTTTAACCAAAAGCAAGACAAATAAACAAACTTTAAGATGATACCATCAACTCCATATGCCCCAAAATTGACGAGTGCCTGATTGCACCACGTCGTGACACAACACTTTTTGTTCGAATAAAGTGCATGTTTACAGATGATAACTCCATCTTTCCTTGGGATCCGGGGATCTGATGGGGAAATGACACAGATTGTAAAGCGCATGGGGCCTGCTATTTAGTGGGGGATATACGCTATATAAATTATCTGTATTATTATTGAACTATATCATTATTATTATTATAAACCTAGTCCGTCATAGAGAGAACTGCTGCTGTTTCTTTCCCCCGTCCTTACTATCGTCCTTTTCCTTTTACTTCTTTTGTATGTTTGTCACTCTCTTGTGAACTGTTATTTCCGGAGTGCCTTGATAGTCAAAGCAGACTTTGTGCTGTTGAAGCTAGAGAGGTGCGCAGAGTAAGCTTAATTCCCCCTTTTGACTTCTCTGTTGACATCCACCCCTTGGCACTCATATGACCTTATGCAGTTGCGAGCGCCGTAAAACCTTACTGAAACTAAAACCTAGTCCGTCTCATACGCTGAGGATATCCTTACGTCATGACAACTGAACTTTGAAGGGCTGGGATGACCTGGGATGTGTATGGGTCTCAAATGTCCACAAACTGTCCACATAGCAAATTGTCAAAGATTCATTGTCTTTACACTCTACAAAAAAAACAACCCTGCTAGAAAACCACTCGGCTCAAGAATTTTAACATCTTTTGTATGTCAGCTGAAGACATAAATATCCTCTATGGCGTCAGTGGCCTAGTGGTTAGGTTACCGGACTCGTAGTCGTGAGGTTGCGGGCTCGGGGGCTCGAGTCGCGGACCCGACGTTATGTCCTTTGGAAAGGCACTTTACACGAATTTTCCTCACTTCACCCAGGTGAGAATGGGTACCCGGCCATGGACAGCGAAAGATCATGTCCGTATGTTAGTGTTTTAGCGCTTATAAATGGCTGCTTGCACTGTATGCTTCCCAGGAAGTCGAGGTTGTTTCAGAATGCTCTCAGGTCTGCTGGGGTAATAGTATAGATTGTGAAGC